AAAAAAAAAAAAAAAAAAAAAAAGGAGTGAGACTTGGGTGAGAGACTAGAGAGTGAATAGGAACGTGCCTGGGCAGCTGAGACTTGGTGATGCAGCAGAATTGAAGGAGTACTTGGAGATGGAGACCAGTGGGAAGGTGGAAATGTTCAGCAAGGCTTCATCTCCTTGTGGGGAGGAGGGTGGACACTTGATGAGCCATTGCACCCCAAAGTGGGGCTGTCCTGACCGTGCCAGGCAGCTCTGGGACCAACCAGAGTTGAGAGCTAACCTCAAAGCATCAGTAAAGACATTAGACACTTGTGTCTGTGACGAGCCTGTCTCCTAACCCATCCGTCTCCATCCCTCCAGCCCCGCAATAACCATGGTCCTTTTTGGTACGGTGATCAATTCTCCATCAATAGAAAACTGTGGAGGGAATGAGCCCTGTGAAGGTTTCACCATTCACTTTGGGCCTTTCTGCTGGAGAGGAGGCCCTCATGAAGCCCGCCAGCTTTCAGGGGCAAAGAAGCACTACTCTATGCTCCATAAATATTGAGCCTGTGGGGTTGGGAAGCTCAAGGAGCATTCACAAACTGGACTAATAGAAACCTGGCATCGAAGGTGGTGCCTTCAGCTTGGGAAAAACTGACATTGAATCCCACCCATTTCTAGCCAGCCGAGGGCTGTGTGGAGAGACCCTGGGGGGCTTTCTGCAGGCGGGATTGTGAAGTGTAGGCCGGAGTGCAATTAAGGAGTCTCACCCAGGAAAACGTTGCCAATATTTATGCAAATAGATCTAAGACAGGCTTTGACTCCAGCTTGCATTTTTAAATTCATATGCTCAAAAATCAGTTAAACCAACACAAAACTTACAGTGTGTCAGGCGCAGCAGAACTGCAGTTCCTTCCCCATCCAGTTCATGTAAAACTCCTCAGAGAAAGTCATGGGCAAAGACAACCCTGACGATGTATTTTGAAGGTCAAAAAGACCCTCAGGTTGGAGTGCGTGAGCTCAAAGCCTGAGACTTAGTGAAGTCCGAGGCTTTGCTCCTGCTCTTTCCATCAAGGATATCATTGGGATGTCCTTCAGCATTAACATATATGGGATATAATGGAGGCTACGAGGTGATCTATAGGTCACGTGGTGCCACCTGGATCAAAAGCAGCACCTCAGATCATGGGATTAAGCTGGAAGCCAACATGGATCCTGTAAGGAAGCGACTTCAGGGAAGTTGTGGCACGGAGGCCACAAGCTCCCGGCATTCCTGAAAAGGTGGCAAAGCGGCCAACAAAAGCCTAAGGAATCCGGGAAGGGAGAAGGCGGCGGGGAACAGCTGCCCACTGCCTCTTGTCCACGGGCCCCTGATTAGGGCGGCTTTAGCGGGCCGGTAATTGGTTGCAGCAATTATCCGCGCGCTGAGAACCGCCGCTCAAACTTCTCCAGCCTGGTGACAAATTGGAGCTGACTGCTGGCAAAGGAGTATCGACTTCCCATTTCTAAACAGGGGCATCATTAGTCAAGAAAAGCATCTTTTAATTACTCGCAGGAAGGGGGAAAAAAAGAGAAAAACGAAAAAACAGATCTTTTGGTATGGATCCTACAACAACTGCAGGATTTCTTTTTTTTTTTTTTTTGGTCTTTCCTAGTGTATTTTCAATACTAAATTTATTGCCTTGGGATTGGGAGGGGGAAAGATGAGGGAGTTTGCCCCGAGTCCTTCTTTCAGTAATGTGGGTTTAATTTGGAGTGAGAAGTCAAATTAGAGCAAATCAATGCGGCAACAGTTAACCGAGTCTGGGGATGAAATCGGGATTTTCCCCTCTAATTGCTATTGATACCAGTTAAGCGCCCTCTTAAAACATTGATTCGGAGCAGAGCAAGGCCGGAGTGGTCGGGACAGCGGCGGCGGGGCAGGATTTGCCCAACGGAGGAATGTTGGAGGAATGCGGTGAGCAGGCGGCTGCGGCAGCCCGGGCCCTGCTTCACCTGGGCTTTTCACACCGGTGGTTATTTGCATATTGCCCAAGGTTTAATTTTGCACCTCCTGTGCCTTTTCTTTTAATCGAGGGTCGCTATCACAGTGATGGTTTTTTTTGTTCTTCCACTGAAGTGACTCTGAGTATTTACCTTAGCTGCATGCAAACCTGAAAGTCAAAGGGCTCCAGGGTTGCAAAATCTTTTTGAGAATATTCTTAAGTTTAAAAAAAATAGATAGGAATCCGTGATTGTTAGAAATGTGTTGCAGAAGTGAGGAATGAGCAGTTAGTGCAAGCTCCACTGCTTGCTGCCCTTGGCAGCCTTTGGGGTTTGAAGCTCTGCTGAGAGAGGCACAAGGAGCAGGTCTTTAATTGCACATTTGCAAGATTCTGGGGTTGCGTTGCAGGAAATACAGTGCGTTTCTGGGCTCACATTTAGGTGCATTGGACTCGGCGGTGTGATTTTTTTTTTTTTCTTTTGATGTTTTTGTATTCGAGCTGCTCTAGCAAATTTAACCAAAGCAGAGGTACTTGAAAAATGCTTCGTCTTTCCTGTGGTTGGTACTTCAGCAAGGCCAGTCCTAGGCAGAAGAAGTTCCTAGGTTTAAAATACAAGGCTATGTCTGGTCCTTCCATGCTAGAGCTTTCAGACTGGTGCTCTGGACAAGCCGTGTGGGCCAGCTTGGCCGCTTGCACTGCAAACGGGGCAGTTGCCCTGTTTATTCTGGTCAGCGAAGGTCATAGGGAAGCAGAAAGGTTCTTAGCTCCGTCTGGGA